GAAAGAAGATAAATAAAAGGAAAAAACCAGCAAGAGAGAAAAACTCTAAAAACTCTAAGGTTTGAGTCATGAGATTTGGTCCTTAAATACTCCCAAAATCGAGCACAAACAAAAGCCCAAAATGCCCTCAAAATTTTTGATTTTCGACAATTTTCAAAGCGCAGGTGCGCACCATTGCAGAAGTAAAGTGAGCGGGTGCGCACTTTTGATGAAATCACAAATTGCACAGGAGGTTGTCATGATAATTTGCATAGTTAGTCCCTCAACTATGATGTTATACAATTTGGTCCTCAGATTTTAATTTTCATTTCAATATTGCCCTCCATAAATTGTATCCCAATGTCCTCCAACTTTCGGTACTTGTGCAACTTAGTCCACAACTTCACAATTGTTGTACACTTTTAGTCCCTCCCCCTTTTTTTTTTTCTCATTTTGTCTTGTTTTCTTTCATTTGAATGATTTTTACCTATAAAAACAATAATTATATAATTATGTGTAGATATTCGCTCTTTTTTTTTTTTTTTATCAATAATAAACATATTTAAATATTAAATAAGTGTGCAAAAACACACTTATCACTAATAATGCGGCATTCTACATTGAATGATACATCACTTTATTCTATAAAAACTCATTGAGAATAATTCATACGTAATCTTGTATAGTGTTTTAAATTTTTTATTATTTTGTACCGTTGAATTTATCTAAATTCAGCCCCCTGAAAACAGTCTCTATCTATGTAGAATTCTTCTACATGTACAGAATTTTTATACGTGTAGATTAACAAATGCATGAAATTCAAATCAAGGGACAAATACATGCCAATGTCAGCCGTCTGTATAAGTAGAATAATTGATCTTCGTCATTGTGTTGAGGTGAAGATGTGATAGGGTTCGGGGTGTACGAATAGAAAGTGACATGTGCCATGTGCATGGACACAATTTTTTGTCCTTTAAATAAGGAAAACAACGAACACGGTAATAATAATTTTAGATTTGATTTCATTAAGACTAAGAGCATAAAAGTTAGAAAGATACACCACCACCACCACCACCACCATCACCATTTTTTGTCACAAAGCACTAGCACGTTCGAGATGGCAGTTCCAAAATTATGGATTGATAGACACGAAAAATAGATCTCCAAATGAAGACAAACTAAACCCTTTTTTGAGCCACGTTATTTTTTTTTTTATTCTCATTCTTCTACTAATTTTCAATCACATATTTTTCAATAAAATAATATTTACCATCACATTAATAGCTTTTTTTTTTCAATCACATATTTTCCATCTTATAAAAAAATGCATTCTTGGGTTGATAATGTGCACCAAACAGGGGCTAAGATTTTTTAGAACAATTTTGCCTTATAAATTAACCATTGTATCAATCCATTTAAGAGGAACTTTATCACAAATCTGTGGCACGTACGATGCGCTAGTACAAAAATATGTATTTATAGACACGGACAGAAAATAAATGTTTAAAAATTAATCTATTTGTACAATTGTTGTTAACAATATTGATGTTGTCAAAATTTGGACAATTGATTTAAAAAATAATTTTAAAGTTGATGAATCTGATGTTGCTAATTGTGAATTGTCAATTAAGAAGATTGTAAAAAAAAAAGATTGTACGAGTAAAATGACCGCAATCTTAATTATCACAAAGCTCTAGCAAGTGCAACATGCTTGCATCCAAAATCAAAATTATAGTAGCCAAAGATGGAAAATAGGTCTCCAAAGGGCGATGAATTAAAATTCTTGTAAACAATTTTTCTGTATAAATTAATCTGTTTCCGTATTCATTAAAGAGGAACTTTGTCAAAAAAAAAAAAAAAACTCTGGCACGGACAAGGTGCGTGAAAAAGCATATGCATAGAGGGAAAAGTTACATTAAAAGGGCGACGATCTCACAAATGTTATTGTTGTCTAGACTAAAAGAAACACAAACCGATTTTGCATAAATTATACACAATTCGATGGAGGACCTATCCTTGCACACGTTGTTGGGAAACTTTGGCGGGCTTGATGTCCTTGAAGAATATGAACATGCGGCCCCGACCACGGTAAAAAGTGACATTGTCGAATTTTCCATGTTTCTCCAACAATGACTTCAATATCGATTCTCTCACTACGAAATAAACATTTTCGATAAATAATATTGTGGATGGTAAGATCCTTCGCCCCAGATTTTCATTGAGGAAGAGTTGTTCAAATTGCCTTGGATTTGGAAAAGTTTCATCGTAGATTTATTGATTGAAGCCAGAAAACATGAAAGGATAAAATAAGGAAAAGAAATAGTAAGGTTCTATTTTACCCAGAAAACATGAAAGGATAAAATAAGGAAAAGAAATAGTAAGGTTCTATTTTACCCAGAAAACATGAAAGGATAAAATAAGCATATAATTTTTTCCCAAAAATCTAGCATGTGTGACGTGCGTGCTCCCAAAAATTTGGTTAGACTGACAAGGAAAATAGATCTCCAAAAGGCGACGACTTAAGATTCTCACGAACAATTTGTCGTATAAATTATTGTATTTATGTCCTTCCATTATAGAGGAACTCTGTAACAAATCACTAGCATGTGCCAAGCGCGAGCACACACACGTATAGATAGACAGAGACAGAAAGCATATAAGCAAGGAGCGACAGATTAAGATTCTCATAAACCAATTTTTTCCTCGTGAATATATAAGATACAAATTTTGTACAAACCGAAAACAAGACCCAACGATTCCATGTACTAAATAGTCGAAAATTTTTATTTGATTCGATTCTAAAAAGAAACGAACTGGACTATATCCAATCTTATATTTGTCAGTTTATGCCATGCTGCAGTGCGGCTAAAGGCTGTTAAATAAGTACAACTTATGCTACAAAAAATTTATGTTCGATTTGCATCCTAAATAGCTTGTATTATCCTAAGTATTTTATTGATGGATATATAGCATTCACATGATGTTAAGAAATATTATATGGGCGTGCAACTACATTGAGCAGAAAAAAGAGCCAATCAACAAATTGGGATTGTCCTCAGGAGATGCCAAGATCAATTAAATTAACTACTTGAGTGAGGTCTGAAGTGTAACCCCCTGCAGCTATCAGATTCTCAAAAAAACAAAGAGAAATTTGTTGAGACTAAATACGGATTGTGACATTTAACTTCGTCACAGATAAAACAGATAGCCTCAAGCGTATGATTCGGAGAAGCCGACTGCAAATTTTGAATCATAGTCAGCTGATGCTGACCTTCCCTTCTGGCCTTAGGCTATCGAATATAATTGCCAAATGTCAACTGATTGTCGACATTTTTAATCACAAACCTTACCCCTACTGGAATAACAAAAATCAGGAAAATGATTGGTTAGTGTCTTTGCCGCTTCTGCGTTGGCGCTGATGCAGATCCAACCTGAACCAAAATGCAAAATTAACGGAAAATCAGAAACAAAGTATTGTTATAGAAAAGAAGTCAAGAAAAAAATTGATAATAAGGCCAGAAGTGAAAGAAAAACAGTATGTGTTTATCCGATATCCAATATTAAGCATTTATCATAACGTTCTCTGCTCCCAGGAATACAACAGTATCATACAGTTGATATTACTTTTGTTTGTCAATCGAAAAGTCCAACAAACCATTGTTTTGCCAAGTGAAGCAAAGTCAATACTAAAACATAGACATAACACAGTAAGTGTATGTTTGATGTGCAATAGGACAAGGTCCTAGCATCTCTGGCATTCTATTAAGACTTGGGATTCCATCTTAAAAAATCAACATTATTAAGAGAAGTAGTCCAAACCCTTACAAGTTGGTCTATGTTTTCATCTTTATTTGATGTGAAATTTTTACCCCTTCACATGCCTCGCAAGTCGTTTGAAAAGATCAATCTTGAAATTTGTGTGCTCATTTTTTGAGTCTTAATAGAATTGAATTGCTCGTTAAAGTTTAATGGCTCCGATATCATATTAAGACTTGAAGTTCCATCTTAAAAGATCAACCTTTTTAAAAGAAGTGGCTCAAACCCTTATAAATTAGCCTATGTTATCATCTTTGTTCGATGTGGGATTTTTATCCCATCACACAATCAATTTAAGAGAAACAGAATCATCATGTACAGATCATCAGGCTTCTCTACTCAACATCAACTCACATCAATTTATGCAATGTCAAATATGAAAATGACTTAAATAGAGAATAACAAGCTTACAAAGCGCGATAGTTGTTCACTGATGTAGGTCATTGATCTCAACATTGCATCGAGAGTGTCTCTGCTAAGCCGAAACTTCACCTCTATCTCTGTTGAAGGAGACTTGGTGAAATCTTGCAGCTGTTAAGCGGAATTGACATTGTAAAGAGGGGCAAGGAGAAAGAATAACTGTTAACCCAAAAGCTATGATTCTTTAAAATAAGATGTCACAAAAGAAAGTGGACTGGTGACCTTGTCTGCAAAACATGTTAAAGCAAAGCATCCGCATCCTATCAGAGCCATAGGGGAATTAAGATATAAGCTAACGTAGCTGATGTCAAAAACCATTATTTGACTACAAATTACCTTGCGCATTTTGAATTTGGTTTCTAACAAATTTTGGATGCTGGTGATTTACTTTAATCTAATAATAATATCATTTTCAATTAAGATTGAAACCTGTTTGTAATTTTCACAGTTGCTTGTTTGGTTGGAAATAACCCATTTCATTTCATGTATTTGAGCTTTTATAATTAGCATACCTTAAGAGTTATAATAGCCACTCGATTAGCTGGCACCTTGTTTTTATTCTCCAGAGTCCAAGCCATAGACTTCAGTCGTGGAAGAATTCCCTACATCGAGATAAGATACACATAAATACTAGTTGGCATAACATTTCTTATTCGACGAGTGCTTGAACATGGGATAAAGGGTGGAGAGGAAGGAAGATGAATTCCTATCTTCTAAATTAGCACAGAGACACCAAACTTTGAAACATAGAAGGCAATCAAAAATTAAACTACATATTTATTGCATACCAATACTTCTGCAGGGCTAACATTATTTTGAAGTGGCACCTGTGAAGAGCATGAGACATTGATTGACATAGGACCTCCAAGATGCTGACCATCAAATTGAGGGACTGGATTAACTTGCCGAGACCATGATGCTCCACAACCTTCTGAAGAGGCAAAAGATGATAAAGGTGGCGGCAAGTTGGTATTAACTTGATGCAAACATCCAGTCCTTCCTAATAGATGCTGCCAAATTCGCAGAAAAACATTTCAGAAATATTAAAACGACTCAGACCAAAGCAGGAATAATATTTTCAGTGTGACCATAGCATCAGCGCAAGATGCCTGGGGAAACCTAGGGGTATGGTCCCATATGATTTTGCAAATTCACATTATCACCTATGAATGCAATTTTCTTACACCTCATTTAAAAATTTCGAGAATTGGTCCCCCTGGTCGTTAAATTTCCATTTGTAGGATATTGAAAGTCAATGAAGCCACTTCTCTATGAATAAAGGTAAGGAGTTTTTATAATGTGATCATGCTTCACGTGTATAAACACAAAAATAAAATTATTTGCACAAGAATGCAATAAATGGCATCTAATTTATTTGACATCTTGGAAAAATAATACCTGCTCCTCTGACAGCTCCTGCTTCCACTGGCTCTGATATTTCTGCAATGACATTAGAAGCATGCGTTGAAGTTCGAGAGGAAGATTATGTGGAAGCAGCTTCAAAATATCATCGCCATCTAAGTTCTCGTGCACACATTTTCTGAGAAGTGAGCGACCGCATGCCAAAACCTAAAGCCAGAAACTTATTATAGGTCATATTGTCACCACCAAAACAAATTCAATTGCTATATGCTAAAACTTAAGGGATGAGTTTGGATTTTCAACTGAAAGTGGAGGTTTGTGAATTGTTACGGAGGAATAGCTCTAGCTAGACCCAACCAATCAAGCAGTACATGTAACCACAGTTATTATGAGCACATAGCCCCATGCCACCAAATCTTACCCAAATCTGAATGCTCGAGTGTAGCAAGAACCAAATCGAAGAAATACTGAGTGGATTTGAGGGAAGTAGATAGGTAATCAAAAACTATCAAAAAGATAATCACATGAGATCAGTCACCATAGTACTGTTTGTTTGACAGCATCTTATCTCTAAACGTTAAAAATTAAACCAAAAGTAAAAATAGATGATCAATTACATATCCTTCATTGAATAGTAGAAGGTGAGTTTTTTCCTTCTTTCTCTTTCAAGGTATTGAACATGGAAGCAATCACTTCAGAAGTAATCGCCTGCTTCCACTTTGCGCAAAGATCAAATGAACGTGTAACTTGTCCTTTTAACCAATATGCTATCTTCTCTAGAAGATATAGGAGTTTTCAGCTTCAATAATATCAAAGCACGCACCTTCGTACAAACCCAGCAATTACCGGTTGCCACTTTGCATAAATATCAATTGAACATGCGAATTATACTTTTAATCTAACGACGTTATAAAATACCTAGGTTCTTTTTAGGTGAGCACGAGAAACTGATCATTATATTGAAATATTACTGAATTGATTTTCGATGAATTCCAACTTGTTGGACCCAAGTATAACTAAGTAGTAAAAGAGCACATCAATGGCAGAAAAGGGTTCAACAATTAGATACCAGGTCGAGGTCGCCGAGAGATGGGACTTTGAAAAGCGAGTGGACTGAGGATTTATCGGAGACAGAGAGACCAGTCTTGCGAGTTTTCCATAGGAGATTGAGAAAATTTGCCAGTTCTTGTTCGGATTGTATGGCCGTCAGCTTGTGCAATTGTTGGTATAGCGTCGTGTCTTCGGATACCATTTTGGCTTTTCGTCTCTCTCAACTCAAATTCCTGTTCTTTTTTTCCATTTTTTTCTGAACGTGTTCTAATGGTGCAGTGCACCAACCTTACAGGATAGTTTGATTGGAAAAAAGAAGCCCATCTCAATTCAACCTTTTTTAATCTGAGTAACTTCTCTCAATTTCTCATCTCAAATCTCCAACCCTAATTGCAACAATATGGAAGAATATTCTTTAAACAAATTAGTTTTCTGTTTCTTCCGATATCAGCCAAGATTTTGTCATCTTACATGTTATCTGCTTTTGGAAAGTAGAGGTAAAATAACCCCATTTTTTAAGGATATTGCCGCTTGTACCTTCCCCTTTACATACAGATCATGCTACATGTATATTTTTTTTAACATTAAGTTTGACATTGTGTCACATGTCGCATCATGATTAGCCAATTTTTAAACTTGCTCACTTTCCCGCCAACAACACTTTGAATTTCCAAAGAAATGTCAAACTTCATGTCACCCAAACAATGTACAAGTGGCTTAATCCTTACATATTCTTGACATTCTTTTTCGTCAATGATGTACGCCTAACATGATTGAAACTTTTATTTCTTGGTGATTAATTCTCTACCAAAGATCAAGTTCAATTTGAAAGAAACTAGGAAGAACACTATGTAAACCATGTCTTGTGAATCCTCTAATCCGTTCATATTATTTCCTTCTACCTCTCTTTGGAAAACCAATTCTTCTAAAATCGACTCTCTATGAAATATCCTACCTTCCTGACTTCGAAAAAGTTCGACTCATGGATTTACCTCTTGTAAATCCTTACCTCCCATATAATAAACCACGTCACTCTTTCACCAAAATTGTCCGAAGTCTTATTTCGCCATCTAAATCACAAATCAAAGAATATGTCCAAGCATCAAAGTTTGATCATCATCTTCTACCTGCTACTGAAAGTGAACAGTTTGTTACTCTAGAATTGCCATCCCATCTTCCAAAAACATGGTTATCTGAAGGTTTTACCCATATTCATTTTGGAGCTGTAAAAATTGCACTTACTCTCCATGGAAGAAAAGAACTTCCAGCGGTTTTCAGGATTGCTCTACTAGATACACGGTTTGTTGATTGCCAACACGCATGTATTGGCACTATTGAAACTACACTAAATGCGGGAACATTACTTATTACTATGTTTCCAAATTTTAACATGCAAAATTATGGACCTATTATTACTATCGGCTTTGAAAATCTAGGTCCAAATTATTGGTGCAGTTCCAACATCAATCACATATGAAACAACTCTTCATTACCAGATGGCTTACAAGATTCAAAATTACTCTCTTGATTTTTCTACTTTTCATGGTATAGATGATGCCTTGTTTATCCAAATGGGAACAGATCAGCCAAGCTGTACATATGTTTCTAGACAAATCCCCATATCAGAGCTCATTAAATTAATTCCACAAACTTGGATTACTAGTTATGAGCAGCATCACCAGGTGTCAAAGAACTCCCTGCCAATCCAGTCACCAACTCATCATTTTAGAAGAAAGTCGAATGGTAAAGTTGAGATCATGTTCAAAAAGGAATCTCCAGCCAAAAAGCTTGCCCATTTTCCTACAAATTTTGCCTTTTCAGATGGAGAAATTCCTATTTACGGATTTGACGTAGCTAGAAAGCTAATTTATTGCAGATCTGATGATACATGACATGTTTGTTGGGACATATGTTTCTATGCAAAATGTATAAATGATGAAGCAGTTTTATCAGAAGATAAACCTCTGAAAAAGAAGAGTAACCAACAAAGGTTACGCGAAGCCTATGAAGACAAATATGTAGGAGTTGATTTGTTAGGGAAACCTTTTGAAAAATTTGATTATTATGTCAAATAAACTACACCCCCTACAAATGATGAACCCATCATTCCTACTGGATGTGATGATGATGATCATGATCATGATCATGACGTTTACAACCACATGCATAAAAAATGGGACTGGGATAATAGTCCATTCCCATCTCTACAGACGGATATACCTATAGCCATGTTCCATCTGCATCAACAAGAAAATTTCCCTCCATTGACCTCTTTTGATAAAGCACAGTCTACTAATGCCTGGAAAATCATTAATCCTACATCTAGGAAATTAGATGGTTTAATTGACAAGCTCTTAGTGGCTGAAGCGGTTTTGAACTAGCAATCAGAAAATGCAGCTCAATAGTCCTTGTTAAGGAAAATTGACCAAAGTCAGCAAAGAATTGAAAGGACTCTACAACAATAAGCACAAACCATGTTAACCCCTCTCCAAGCCCATAAATAAAAAAAATTGAGACACTCCATGCTGAAATCATAAATCTCCTACAAAATCATTTACACATAGCAGACCAAGAAAGAGAAATAAGAAATCTCAAAACCCAACTCATTTCTTTAGAAAACAATTCCATGATCCCACATTCCACTTCATATTATCCAATGATAATCACATCTGACAAACTTCAGGTTCCACGTATTCAACTGGAGCTTTTGGATCCACAGCTTCACTTTTCACTCCTGAAGAATGGGAAAAGAAGCTAAAACCATTTCATTCTCTTGATATAAAGAGAACTAAACAGTTGCCTTTACAAAAGCCACAAACTCTTTCTTCACAAAACCCACAAGCTCTACCTCCACCAAATCTAGAAAAACAACCACAAATGATGATAAAAAAAAACCCCATTACCACCTTACTACGAAAAGTTCAAAACCATTCCTCTTGTATACCTCACGTCCTAACCATTACAAATGAACCAGTTCTGAGCTTGAAGAGTCCTTAGATGATTTTTTAGAAGATCATCCTCCTTTGTATATGGCTGATAGACCCCAAGCAAGTCAAAATCAGGAAGGAAATCCCGTTGTTGATGAATCAAAAATAATTGATGAAGAGATTCCTGATAATCTTAACATTTACATTGTGAATAATTATTATTCACAAAACAATACTTCCACAACCATATTCACTTTTGATGATATCCCTCCAATTATGTGGAAGGCAAGATTCCAAGAATGAAAGCATGGTGTTCAGCAGAATTGCAGATGCCAAATATGACTCATTCTGGGATCATAAAATCTTTTTTGGCAAGAATTACTGGTTTCCTTAAAGAATGGTATGATGCTATTGGAAAATATCGCCAGAACCAATATTAAAATTCCCCAACAATTGATGCTTTTATAGAATCATTGTATTGGGAATTTTGTGGAAAAAAGACCATTTGAAGGATGTTACAAGAGAAGAATTCTTCAAGTTAAAGTGTTGTTCTTACAATCTTAAAGATTTGGACAAACATTTTCAAAATGCTGCCAAGTTATACTATATCATTGGTGGAATGGATGATACCAACATAAAGCAAGCCTACTTGGAATCCATACCACAACCTCTTGGTCAAGAGACACTCAGAATGATTGAAATAAAAGGACAATCATTGCCAACCACTTCTTTTGGAGAACTCCATAGTTGGGTCAAATGAACCTTGAAAAAACTCTGTAATCAAATAGAGTTTTTAAAAGATATCAGTACAACATGACAAAAGCCTGAAAAGGCTTGTGATCAACCAGATTTGAAAATCAAATGCCAACATAACAAGAAGAGTTGTGATTCTCCAAGAAAGAAAAAGTATCACATACGAAAGTTCAAGTTCCACAATAAAAAAATTTCCAAATCCTTTTCTTGAAGGAAAGGACACTTCAAGAAGAAATTCACAAAGAAGAAAGGAGACAAGTGTTTCATTTGTGGAAAGAAGGGTCACTTTGCAAAAAAAAAAAAAAATGTACTCATCAAAAGAAGGGAAAAATATTGCATCAAATTTATGCAGCAACAAAAATTGAAGATGGAGCAGATCTTGAATCGGTATTTTCTCAGGAAGATGAACAATCCCCTGAGATTTTTTTTTTTTTTTGTGTTGGAATTCGACTCTAATGATAAAAGTATTAATAACTATGATAGAATAGAAGAATGCTATGGAATACAAGTCATTAATCTTAGTCTACCGTTCCAATGATTGAAGTTAAAATATTTCCAGGAAAATATGGAAGGCTCATCACAGTTGCAGGATTGTTTGATACTGGAGCTCTTGTTCAATTTTAAATCCATCCATTCTTCCCAAAAATATGTGGAAAACCCTTCAGTAGATATCTTAGGCGGCCAATAAAACCAATGACACTTTAGTTCTTTCTAGAATGCAATGTTTCACACAAGTTGCTTGGTTCATCTTTACTAGGGAAAGATATTGTAATTGGTTTGACATCATTAACAATTGTGGGCAAAGCGTGTTATCCCTCTTCCAAATGGCCTCAGATACAAGTCTTACTTTTTACCATACATACAGCCAACCATATACTTCTCTATAGCCAACCTTGATGATAACGAGCTTATTAATCCGAGAATGTTGTGCACACTCTCACATAAATTTCCTCACTAAATGCACTCACCCTTTATGGAAAAAAACCCAGACTTCTTATTAACCCTACTTTTCAAAAAAAAAAAAAAAAAAATGAAGACATTAACCCTACTAAAGCCAGCCATATTGGAATGAGCCCAAAACATCTCCAGTTATTCACCAAAGAGTTAAACCAATTGCAAACCGAAGGTCTCATTGAACTAACTACTTCCCAATAGGCGTGTCAAGCCTTTTATGTAAATAAAAGATGTGAACAAGTTCATGGGAAAATGAGACTTGTGATTAATTACAAACTGTTGAATCACTTGCTGATGACAACTTTCCTCTTGCCAGTTTATCTGAAGCAAAAATATTTTCAAAGTTTGATTTAAAAGCAGGATTTTGGCAATTGGGGATTAAGGAAGAGAAAGGCACAACATAGGGTTCTGTATCCCAAATCACCACTACCAGGTTATGCCTTTTGGTCTTAAGATAGCCCCTTAATTGTTTCAAAAGGCTATTACAAGAATTTATCATCCAATATTAGAATCAACTTTAATCTGTATTGATGATATTCTTTTGTTCTCAAAGGATGCAGATACTCAT